AAATAAAATAAAATAAAACCTGTGAGATAGCTAATAGAAACAGAGGAAAAATAACACAACTTTCTTTAGGATTGAACTTTTAACATTTGTAGGGTGTAAGGTTTACCTGGAGCAATGTAGCCAAAGGAGCCAGCAACAGCCGACATTGTAGCAAGTTCTCCTTGCTTGACCAACAGCTTGGCCAGACCAAAATCTGCTATTTTTGCATTAAAATCAGAGTCTAACAAGATGTTACTCGATTTCACGTCTCGATGCACAACGGGTGGCACACAGTCATGATGCATATAGCTGAGGCCCCGAGCAGCCCCCACTGCAATATGCAACCTCTTAGGCCAGTTCAGCACAACATGGTGGACTGACCTGGAGAGATTGGATGGCCTGTTTATCTTGTGCAGCCATCGATCCAGGCTTCGATTCTCCGAGTACTCATAGACAAGTAGTTTTGAATTGTCCTTGGATATACAGCACATCAGCTTCACTATGTTGGCATGTCGAATGGAACTCAATATCTTGACTTCTGCAAGAAATTCTTTTTCAAGCCTCTCTTCTAACTTCTTATCTTTCCAAATCTTTTTCACGGCAACAACATCGCCTGTACGATTGATAGGAACACAATAAACTTTTCCTGATCCGCCACGTCCAATCAAATTACTTTCTGTCAATCCTGAGAGAATTTTTGACACTCTGAAATTCAACCTCTGAAATGCGGTGAGCTTCCAATCAGAATCCGATCTGTTTCTCTTCCAATAAGCTCTGACCATGAAGAATGATAAGGACAGAGCCAACAAGGACAAAAGTATGCCCAAAGTTAAGATCAATGCAAGATATGTAGACGAAATTTTGCTGGACTTTCGAGGTTGAGAATTACATATGCTGAGTTTTGCTGAGGGGCTAGTTGCACAGAGACCTTGATTGTCCAAGAAGCTTCCGTTATAAGCAGAATTTTCAAATTCAATTGGGATCTTCCCAGATAGGTGATTGGAAGAGAGATTGAAGTTGCTGAGCTTCAGATTCCCAAGTTGAGCTGGAATTTGGCCAGAAAGTTGGTTTTCTGAAAGGTCCAGTGCAGTAAGGACTGGTAGAAGACCAAGTCCCGCTGGAATTGGTCCAGAGAGTTGATTTCGACTGAAATTAAGAGTGTTGAGTGAGTTCCATGATATAATCTCTGATGGAAGGAAGCCAGTAAGCTGATTCTGCTCAAGAGAAAGACTGATTAAGCTAGGAAGAGCAGTGAGTTCCTGAGGGATAGTACCGTTAAAAAGGTTATTACCGGCGTCAAAAACCTTCAAGTTCCAGGATGACACCCCGGTTGGAATGTTACCTGAAAATCTGTTATTTCTGATTTCCAGCCGTGTAAGATTCGGAGATAGTTTTTCAGGAAGCTCACCGGTAAGAAAGTTGTTGCTCATCAGCACCTGATCCAAGTTTGGTGCTGTCCACATGCCACTAGGAATGGTCCCAGATAATCCATTATGATACACCTTCACTCTTGTTAAACTAGTGCAATTTCCAAGAGAGCTTGGTAACTCCCCAGTGAGATTGTTCTCATAAGCTACAAGTGTTGACAGCTTACCCCAATAGCACAAATGATCTGGCAGTTTGCCAGTGAGCCTATTCCCCGAAACCTCGAACCCTTCAAGCTTTGAATACCTTCCAAAGTCTGGAGGCAATGTTCCAGACAAATTATTGATGAACACTCTGAACTGTTTGAGATTTGGTAGACGGCCAATGCTTGCTGGAACCGCATCAGAAAAACCATTTATAAACAAAGCTAACTCTGTTAACTTGGTAAGGTTTCCATAATCTTTTGGTATTGGCCCTGTTAAATCGTTGCCAGAAATATCAATAATACTCAAGTTCAATGCTTCAACCACTTGAGATACATTCCCAGACAGGCTGTTGTTGAAGAGGTAGATTATACTCAAATTCTTCAACAGAAACAAACCACTTGGGATTGTCCCATTTAAACTGTTGTATGCCAAATCCAAATGTTCCAGTGCTGCCATTTCTCCAAGTGTTCCGGGGAGTTCTCCAGTCAGATTCGATCCGCGTATATATAAATTCTTCAAGTTTTTCAACTTGGTGAAATTGGAAGGCAGATTCCATGGCACAAGTTCTGTATTGAAAGAGAGACTTAGGTTTTTAAGATTGGACAAGTTACCTATTTCTGGTGGCACGGAACCATTAAAGTTGTTCATATACAGCTGCAGGTTCCTGAGCTCTTGTAACCGCCCAATAGCCGCCGGTATGTCACCCGAAAAGTAGTTAGCGCCAAGGTCAAGGTGTTGAAGCAGAGGCAAGCTGTCGATATCTTCAGGAATCTTGCCATCAAAGGAGTTTTGTGAGAGGTTCAAGTACTGTAGCTTTGAACAGTTGTAGAAAGCTTTTGGGAACTCTCCAGCGAAGTTGTTGTAGCTGAGATCAATGAGTATGAGGTTCTTCAGATCACAAATGAAAGGTGGAACTGATAGGGTGATGTTCGTGTGGACCAGAGACAATCCGGTAACGGAGTTGTTTGTGCAGGTGATCTCAGGCTGCCAGGAACAGTGGGAAGTGTTTGATGTTGATGGAATCCAATGACTGAGGAACGGTGGAGATTGCAAGTATGACTTTAGTTTTAGAAGAACAGCTTGTTCTTGGTCTTGCAATGACTGAGAGTTGGCATGGCTGATGAGGAGGAGGGGGAGGAAGAGAAGGAAGCAGAGATGGGTGTGGAGAGAAGATGTTGGGGTTGGTTTAGTCATTTGGTGATGGAGGTTCAGAAGTTGGTTTGTTCCCGCGGCATGAACTCTGGTTTTGAGGACAAGACAAGTAAGTCAGGGGAAGTTGATTTCCTTATAGGAGGAAAGAAAACCACCAAGTTGGAAAGTGGGAACTTCAAAACCATTTGCAGGGCCACAAACAAATGCAAGCTTTTGGCAATTTGAGTGGAGGACCTGGAAAATGATGGTCAACGGATACCATTTAGTCTACCACCAATTAGTGGAGGACCTGGAAAATTATGGCAATTTGAGTGGAGGACCTGGAAAATGATGGTCAACGGATACCATTTAGTCTACCACCAATTAGTGGAGGACCTGGAAAATTATGGCAATTTGAGTGGAGGACCTGGAAAATGATGGTCAACGGATACCATTTAGTCTACCACCAATTAGTGGAGGACCTGGAAAATTATGGCAATTTGAGTGGAGGACCTGGAAAATGATGGTCAACGGATACCATTTAGTCTACCACCAATTAGTGGAGGACCTGGAAAATTATGGCAATTTGAGTGGAGGACCTGGAAAATGATGGTCAACGGATACCATTTAGTCTACCACCAATTAGTGGAGGACCTGGAAAATTATGGCAATTTGAGTGGAGGACCTGGAAAATGATGGTCAACGGATACCATTTAGTCTACCACCAATTAGTGGAGGACCTGGAAAATTATGGCAATTTGAGTGGAGGACCTGGAAAATGATGGTCAACGGATACCATTTAGTCTACCACCAATTAGTGGAGGACCTGGAAAATTATGGCAATTTGAGTGGAGGACCTGGAAAATGATGGTCAACGGATACCATTTAGTCTACCACCAATTAGTGGAGGACCTGGAAAATTATGGCAATTTGAGTGGAGGACCTGGAAAATGATGGTCAACGGATACCATTTAGTCTACCACCAATTAGTGGAGGACCTGGAAAATTATGGCAATTTGAGTGGAGGACCTGGAAAATGATGGTCAACGGATACCATTTAGTCTACCACCAATTAGTGGAGGACCTGGAAAATTATGGCAATTTGAGTGGAGGACCTGGAAAATGATGGTCAACGGTCCAATCTTGGCCTCTCTTCTTCTACTCGAACTTTATGTGTATCATGTGAGCTTTTGAGTCAAACCAAGCGTCAAGGACCTTGCTGATATTATCACGTTCGCACGTGCAGGTGCAAACTGTATGAAGTTAGTTATTTACTCCAAAAGAAATCGGAAAAATTATTTTCATATTGTATGAAGTTTGTTGACTCAAAAAAGTCACCACTCACCTAGAGGAAGCCCACGAAATTAGTTTGGGCCTTGACTGATTGATTTGATTGCTTAGGCCCCTCAGTTTCCTATTTGTTTTTGTTTTTTGTTTTTAATATTAGCGATAGTCTAAGCCCAGCTCAGTCTGGTCCGTTATTTTCTCTCTTGATTAAAGCCCGCCTGGCTTGGCCCAAGCCCAATAAATTTTGGACCGAGTTGGCCTAGCTCATTGAATGGCCTTAGCTACAAGGAGGAGGAGGTTTCTCACACACACACACACACACACACACACACTCTGTACCAAGGTGTTATGAGAGTTCAAACCTGAGACCACTAGTTAGCAAGTGAATGCCTTTTTCCACTTGGCTAAACCTCGTTGGCTCCTACTTTGTTTTATTATTATTGAGTTATAATGAAAATAGAGAATCCCCTAATATAAATTGAATTTCCTTATGCTTAAAGGACTATGTTTGGTCAGACCGAAACAAAAAGGACTGGAAATCTCTACAAATGATAAAATATAGAAAAGGGCACTTGTCTTCACACCCCGCATCAATTAGTATCGCACCGTTGAGTAGCTACTTATCAGATTGGCAAAATCCTCGAGGATTATGAACGGCTATAATCCAATGCTTGGCTAACAAGTAAAGGATTATGAACGGCTATGGGAGTTTGATGAGATTAGGATTCGTTTTTAGTTTCGTTCTATGTATTTTATTTTCAATTTCAGGTTTGTCCCAGTGAGATTAGGATTTCCTTATTCTGAAAGGACAGGAATTGGTCTGAATTGTTTATAAATACAAGTCCACTTGTTCTCACACTTGGCATAGCAAGAAAAGAAACCCAGTAGAGTTACCTCAATCAAAGACGATCCATCAATATCACTAATCTTCGTCTTCTTTTTTGACGGTGCAAGCAAACTACTTGTAGATGGACTTCGAGCAGTTTTATCGTTGTTACTCTGTCTCCTCAATTGGTGTTGTAGATGGCCTTCGAGCAGTTTTATCGTTGTTACTCTGTCTCCTCAATTGGCAAGCCACATGCGGAAAACGGTGATAAAATTATAATGCCGCTGTCGGCTCTCCATCGCCTTGTTTGGGGTCCACAGGTGGCCTACCCTATGCTGTTTCAGCTCAACAATCCCAATTCTGAATCTGGACGAGTTACTCATTGCGGGGTCTTGGAATTTGTTGCTGATGAGGGCTTTGTATTTTTACCATCTTGGATGATGCACAACCTGCTTTTACAAGAGGGTAACCTTGTTCATGTCAAAAGCCAAAGCCTTGGGAAGGGAACATATGTCAAACTGCAACCTCACACCAAGGACTTTCTTGATATCTCAAACCCTAAAGCCGCTCTGGAGACGGCGTTGAGGAGCTACTCTTGTTTAACCATTGGTGACACTATCATGCTTCCTTATAACAGCAAGAAGTATTACATCAACATAATTGAAACAAAGCCCGCCTCTGCAATCTGTATAGTTGATACCGACTGCGAGGTTGATTTTTCCCCTCCTCTTGATTATGTGGAGCCTGAAAAGAAGCCAGCACCATCCACTCTGCCAACAAAGAGACCACAAGAAGTTGAAGAAGATGAACAAGAGACACCAGAAAAGATAGCAAAGTTCAGTCCCTTCACTGGTTCAGCCAGACGATTGGATGGAGAACCGGTCTTGACACAATCCGTTGCACCTGCAGTTCCCTCTCCTCCAGAACTCAAGCAGCGCCAACTGGAGAGTGAAAATGGAACCAACAAAAAGGGTTCTAAGTCATCAGCTTCTGCTTCACTTCAACATTCTGGAAAGGTTGTGTTTGGTTCAAATGTGAACCGGCCTGCGAATGCAATCCCAAAAGTTGCCCCAAACAACCGCAGCAGGCAAGAGCCCCCTCACAAGGCAGAAGAGCCAAAGTTGCAAGCATTCACAGGGAAGAAGTATACCCTGAAAGGGTGAAGTTGGGGCATATCGATCCTTCCTCTAAAACATATGAATTAAACGCTTAGCTAATATGTAAAGGGTTAGGAACGGCTATGGTTGAAAACTTGGATGATAAGTAATACCCAGAGTGGGAGAATCTGTTTCCTTTATTATTTCCTTGTTCTGAATACCATCAATTAAATTTTGAAGCTATTGGAATTGTTATCTTTTCTACTCCTTGTTCTCTGATTCTTCCTTTTGTAATTTTCATACATGATTGGTGCCATTAAAATAACAACTCGATGTACGTAATAAATATCTTTCATACATACATTACACATAATTGGTATTGTTTGGTTGTTAAGCTCATTTATCCTGGATTGGATTGCGTAATAAAATAGGGGATGTAAACTGTGAGTAGTTACTTTTATTGCTTGCACTCTCAGGGAATTAAGTTGCTTGCATCTCTAAATCTTCTCAATGGTGGGGTGACTTTTGTTGAGCATCGGAGCAAGATATGCAGAACCTCCTTCACTAATTTTCTCTAAGACTGTTATCAGATACACAATTCTGAGTTTTCTGTTCTCTGCTTTCTTCCTCATTCTTCTCTAAATTCCTACAACATCGCCTGTACGATTGACAGGAACACAATAAACTTTTCCTGAGCCGCCACTTCCAATCATAGTACTTATTGACACTCTGAAATTCACCCTCTGAAATGTGGTGAGCTTCCAATCAGAATCCGATCTGTTTCTCTTCCAATAAGCTTTGACCATGAAGAATGATAAGGACAAAGCCAACAAGGACAAAAGTATGCCCAAAGTTAAGAGCAATGCAAGATATGTAGACCAAATTTTGCTGGACTTTCGAGGTTGAGAATTACATATGCTGAGTTTTGCTGAGGGCCTAGTTGCACAGAGACCTTGATTGTCCAAGAAGCTTCCGTCATAAGCAGGATTTTCAAATTCAATTGGGATCTTCCCAGATAGATGATTGGAAGAAAGATTGAAGTTGCTGAGCTCCAGATTCCCAAGTTGAGCTGGAATTTGGCCAGAAAATTGGTTTTCTGAAAGGTCCAGTTCAGTAATGACTGGTAGAAGACCAAGTCCTGCTGGAATTGGTCCAGAGAGTTGATTTTGACTGAAATTAAGAGCGTTGAGTGATTTCCATGATATAATCTCTGATGGAAGGAAGCCAGTAAGCTGATTCTGATCAAGAGAAAGAGTGATTAAGCTAGGAAGAGCAGTAAGTTCCAGAGGGATAGTACCGTTAAAAAGGTTATTACCGGCGTCAAAAACCTTCAAGTTCCAGGATGACACCCCGGTTGGAATGTTACCCGAAAATCTGTTATCTCTTATTTCCAGCCGTGTAAGATTCCCAGACATTTTCTCAGGAAGCTCACCGGTAAAAGAGTTGTTGCTCATCAGCACGTGAATCAAGTTTGGTGCTGTCCACATGCCACTAGGAATGTTCCCAGACAATCCATTATCATAAACCTTCACTTTTGTTAAACTCGTGCAATTTCCAAGAGAGCTTGGTAACTCCCCAGTGAGATTGTTCTCATAAGCTACAAGTGTTGACAGCTTACCCCAATAGCACAAATGGTCTGGCAGTTTGCCAGTGAGCCTATTCCCCGAAACCTCGAACCCTTCAAGCTCTGAATACCTTCCAAAGTCTGGAGGCAATGTTCCAGACAAATTATTGATGAACACTCTGAACTGTTTGAGATTTGGTAGACGGCCAATGCTTGCTGGAACCGCACCAGAAAAACCATTTAAAAACAAAGCTAACTCTGTTAACTTGGTAAGGTTTCCATAATCTTTTGGTATTGGCCCTGTTAAATCGTTGCCAGAAATATCAATAATACTCAAGTTCAATGCTTCAACCACTTGAGGTACATCCCCAGACAGGCTGTTGTTGAAGAGGTAGATTATACTCAAATTCTTCAACAGAAACAAACCATTTGGGATTGTCCCATTTAAACTGTTGGTTGCCAAATCCAATTCTTCCAGTGCTGCCATTTCTCCAAGTGTTCCGGGGAGTTCTCCATTCAGATTCGATCCGCGTATATACAAATTCTTCAAGTTTTTCAACTTGGTGAAATTGGAAGGCAGATTCCATGGCACAAGATTTGTATTGAAAGAGAGACTTAGGTTTTTAAGATTGGACAAGTTACCTATTTCTGGTGGCACAGAACCATTAAAGTTGTTCATATACAGGTGCAGGTTCCTGAGCTCTTGTAACCGCCCAATAGCCGCCGGTATGTCACCAGAAAAGTAGTTAGCGCCAAGGTCAAGGTATTGAAGCCGAGGCAAGCTGTCGATATCTTCAGGAATCTTGCCATCAAAGGAGTTTTGAGAGAGGTTCAAGTATTGTAGCTTTGAACAGTTGTAGAAAGCTTTTGGGAACTCTCCAGCAAAGTAGTTGTAGCTGAGATCAATGAGTGTGAGGTTCTTGAGATCACAAATGAAAGGTGGAACTGGGAGGGTGATGTTCGTGTTGACCAGAGACAATCCGGTGACAGAGTTGTTTGTGCAGGTGATCTCAGGCTGCCAGGAACAGTGGGAAGTGTTTGATGTTGATGGAATCCAATGGCTGAGGAACGGTGGAGATTGCAAGTATGACTTTAGTTTTAGAAGAACAGCTTGTTCTTGGTCTTGCAATGACTGAGAGTTGGCATGGCTGATGAGGAGTGGGGGGAGGAAGAGAAGGAAGCAGAGATGGGTGTGGAGAGAAGATGTTGGGGTTGGTTTATTCATTTGGTGATGGAGGTTCAGAAGTTGGTTTGTTCCCGCGGCATGAACTCTGGTTTTGAGGACAAGACAAGTTAGAGGAATTTGATTTTCTTTTAGGAGGAAAGAAAATCACCAAGTTGGAAAGTGGAAACTTGATCAAAACTATTTGCAGGGCAATTTGAGTGGAGGACCTGGAAAATGATGGTCAACAGAGACGATTTATTCTACCACCAATTAGTGGAGGATTGTGCTTATCAGTGCTTAGCTAGTTGATACCAGTTGACTTTGTGTTTTGTTTTGATCAAATGGGGGTTGTGGGGTTTCCACAAATGTCCGCAGAAGATAAGGCAAGTTTTCAAATAAAACAAGGCAGGCTGAAAGCCAAACGTGACGTACGTGAAAGGCAAGACGGCATTGAAAGTTCCTTCCTGGAATGTCACGTGTGAACAGAGAACGCCATTGTTGAATGAAGACTTGATTTATTGCTTTTTAATTTTTAATGGGAGACTTTGATCCCATATTATTATTTTCAAACCAAACATTACGAAGGGTAAGAAGAATAACGCAGCACGTCTGATTTTCCACTGATACAGACAGGGGAGGGAGAAAAATGAAAAATAAAATTCCACTGGAAAGAAAAGTTGCAGAGGTGTGACGAAATGGCATTAATTCATGTGGGTGGGTTGTTGTCCTAACACACTCACATTTGTTTCTTCCACCAGTTCCAGAAGATGCACAAAATTTCAATTCATGTTATCAAATCAATGGACTGGTTATCAAATCAATGGACTGCTTTTAACTTTGGAGAAAAGTTGAGTCATGATATCAAATCAATGGGTTTTGGTGGAAATAGATTTGTAGTCTGTCAAATGTATGGACTGCATTATTTCTAGAAGCTGAGATAGTGAAAAGCAGTATGCATCCAGATGCAGTGTCACTTGTGAGCTTTTGAGTCAAAAACCAAGCGTCAAGGACCTTGCTGATAACTTAATAAAATCACAAAGTTCTTTGGATATTAATTAAGGGATAGGATTTCTCCACTTCCCTTTTCTCCACCTACACTCTATTTTACTTTTTAATACTTTTTAATTAATTTTGTTCATTTTCTTTCATATTCTACCCTTACCCTGCATTAATTTCTTTTTATTTCACTTTTATATTAGTTCTTTTTCTTTATACTTAATTTTCCAACTTGCACTCTATTTTCAGTAATATTTTTTTCCTTTAATCGAGAAAGAAATTGAGTTTTTTTTTTTCCCCATTAATACTGAAAAGTTCTTTTCTAACAGTGCAAGCAAACTTGGTGAAGATGGACTTTGATCAGTTTTATCGTTATTACTCTGTCTCCTCAATTGGCAAGCCACATGCGGAAAACAGTGATAAAATTATAATGCCGCCGTCGGCTCTCCATCGCGGGGTCTTGGAATTTGTTGCTGATGAGGGCTTTGTATTTTTACCATCTTGGATGATGCACAACCTGTTTTTACAAGAGGGCAACCTTGTTCACGTCAAAAGCCAAAGCATTGGGAAGGGAACATATGTCAAACTGCAACCTCACACCAAGGACTGAGCTTCAGATTCCCAAGTTGAGCTGGAATTTGGCCAGAAAGTTGGTTTTCTGAAAGGTCCTGTTAGATTGTAGGGGAAACAAAGTGATTTTATTAGATTGGAGGAGAATAGTACATGGCTTGGTGTAGGCTAATTGACCTTCTTAGCATATTGACTTATTGGCCACTACACTTGGTTTAAATTGATTTGGGTTATTTGGCCCTTACACCTTTATTGATGAGCTTATTGGCTCTCAACATAGCTTTTCTTTGGGTAGCTCTTGGCTCCTTAATGGTTTGGGAGTTCTTTGTTAGACTCCCCACATGACTTGGTTGGGTAGCTTTTATGCTCCACCTTGTATGACCACATATTGTCTATTTATAGACATAATCCACCGCCATACCTTGGTCCGCCGACTTAGGAAGTTAACCCCAGCCACATATGTGTGGCTTTCTCTAGATAATTCTCCAAGGTTGCGTGTGGCTGCCGACTTCCCATCAAGCTATAGTACTTTCTTCAAGTTTCTAGATTTTTCTACAAATATGCATTAATTTCAACAGGTCCAGTGCAGTAAGGACTGATAGAAGACTAAGTCCCGCAGGAATTGGTCCAGAGAGTTGATTTCGACTGAAATTAAGAGTGTTGAGTGAGTTCCATGATATAATCTCTGATGGAAGGAAGCCAGTAAGCTGATTCTGCTCAAGAGAAAGACTCATTAAGCTAGGAAGAGCAGTGAGTTCCTGAGGGATAGTACCGTTAAAAAGGTTATTACCGGCGTCATCAAAAACCTTCAAGTTCCAGGATGACACCCCGGTTGGAATGTTACCTGAAAATCTGTTATTTCTGATTTCCAGCC